ATTACGATCTATATTACATAGCATGACTCATAAATTGGAAGGATTTGGAAGAAAGTGGTAGACGCCTATTCAAGGAACTATGCCACATTTTCCTGAAGGGAGAAGACCATGCAATAGCACAAGCTACTAGTCACCAGCTTCCCACTGCGGAGGCCCAAGGTCGAGCCCACGTCAGGTCATGTGGGATTTGTGGTGGACAAAGTGACACTGGGGCAGGTTTTCTCCGAGTACTTCGGTTTCCCCTGCCAATCACATTCCACCGATTGCTCCACAAACATTATCACTTATTATTTGGGGCTGGTACAATTGGCCAGACAGTGGCCGCTGTGCCAGGTGGACTCAGTTTCGCTCCTGAAGGTATGAAGAAAGTCGCGAAGCACCTCAGTCAGGATAGTCTGTGTCCGGGCCGAGATTCCAACCCAGCACCTCCCAAATAGACCTGCAAGTCTAGACAGTTTCTGCTACGTCAACCTGCCTGGTACTTCAGTTCTCATGTCCGAAAAGAGGGACGGTATGCGGACCAAGGTTTGTAGCCTAACGTCAACATATCGACTATGGATTATGGTTGTTGCTTGGTTTTCCGGTTATATAACGAGTTCATTTCCAGAAACAGAGGTTGTATAATGGCGAACGGGTTGGGACAATGATCGGGAACACTGGAAAGTTACTGTTTTAGGAGATGGCAGCGTCAGAGGTGGCATTTCACGCTGATATCTTGCTCGGCATATTCTTCGACCCTAAATATAGAAGTGGTACATTCCTCCGAAACGTCGGTTGGCTTTCAACGAAATACACGGCTTTAAATCTCAGAGGATCGTACGCTTCATAAGCAGGGCTGTGAAAACCCGAAATCCTACAAACCACAGGAAACTCTCAGTGCGGTCGGCCGGGACTGCGGACAATACAGGATGGGTACGTGCTGAATACAAGTCCAGACTGCTCGATGGTTAGATCTTATCTTCATTTCATTTATGTTTTATCTAAAGACGTTCTGTCAAATGCTTCCGTTATGTAGAATGGGACCGGAAGTAGGGAACTGAACGCTGATTTTGGGACGGTGCTGAGAGGAAGAGTCAAGGTTTGTTTCGAGGTACTACCCAGGCACGTGCCTGGAAGAAATGCGGTAAACCGCGCTAAGTCTATTAGACAATACGATCTCGCTGTTGAAATTAATTCTAACGGCGGACTTCCCGAATACGAAAGAACGGTATCAACCATTACACCACGACGTTGGATGCAGGAGTTATGTGCCGCTGGGGATGGCTAAGACTGCAGGCACCAAATGGCACTGAAAGTAGAGGCAGTATTCGTATGTTTAATCGCCTAAGTTTATTTTTGCGATGGGTTGGGTGAGACTGAGTCCTCTTTGTATACGGACCACGATTGGACGTATAGTACCAGCCCCGGGTGATAATCATGTGTGTGTGTGAAGCAATTGGTGGAATGAGAATTGGCAGCGGAAACAGAAGAACTCGTAGAAAACCTTCTCCTGTGCGACTTTTTCCACCGTAAATTACACATGACCTGACCTGATATCGAACCCAGGCCGCTGCGGTGGGAAACCGGAGACTAATCTCCTGAGCTATGGCACATCCATTGTCTGACTTAGTATTCGTCTATTGGAACTGAGGTGAAACAAGATAGACGTCAGAATATCTGATGCTTCAGTTGAGACTCGAACTGTAGATTTCCTGAATACAAATCTAATTGTTCGGTCCGCTAGTGATGCAGTGGTCACATCAATATGCACACTGTTTGCACAGAGCCAGGAGTTGGGATGAAGTTGTTCCTTTCTCTGTCTGCTACGTGCTGCACTGTTAGTCCTGTGTTCTCACAAGGCCGTACTTAGTACGGTCCATACAGAGCCTTCGCAGTTGTTACCATTAAAGATACGGCCTCCAGATGTGGAGCATAGCTGTGGATATTTTTAACAAGTAGATGCGAAAAGCCGACACGACGCAGTCCTCCAGCTTCTGGGTTTTGTGGGGAGCTAACAACTCCTCGTAAAAGCAGGCGGAGTAAGGAACATTACGCAAGGCCCCGGATTTGGGTTCTTTGAAACAAGCTAAGCAGCGGAAAACGGACGTGAGTGAGACCTGAAACTAGAAATGTCATGAGTCTCATTAGGTGAAGGTCATGGCAAACAGTATCAAGAGAATTTGCATCGTAAGGTCCACACAGTTTCGACGGTAAGCCTAAAGGGAAGAGACCGTCTGAAAGATCTCGGCCTAGATGGGAGGATTATGTTAAAATGGGTCTTAAAGAAAAGAGTGGAATGTTGTGGACTAGATTCATTTAGCTCTGAGCCCAGTGACGGGCTCTGGAAAACACCGTAACGAAATGTCGGGTTCCATAAAGGATGGGGAATGTCTTGGCTAGCGCCTGTTTTAACTCTCAAGAACTCTGTCCCATGGAGTCACCGCCACAAGGTTTAGGTTCATGGTTATAAATTGAAAATTAATTTTACAGATTGTGTTGATTCTGTTATGACATGCCGACGTACATACAGACGGTCTTACTGGTTTAGTCAGTATTGGACAATGACTTCGTCATTACCGACGTCTTCCCGTCTATTTCATTGCGAACCTCATCTCAAGAGCATAACTGCGCTCCGCTTCTGCAAGTTAATGCAGTCTTACTGGAATGTTACGAAGTTTGGTTATTTTCTACATTGATATCTAATTTATAATTCTCGTTTTCTGATTGTATTAAATATAAACATTAGCTGACAATCTTTAAAATATAATTTGTGTAGCATGGATGTGGGTTAGAGCAACAATTTATTCACACAGGCCTATTGTGGTTCAGTCTCAGTTACCGAAGTTTTTCGATATTCCAAATCGTTCGAGGTAAAAAAAAACTCACATAGTGTGACTATTCTACTAAGAATGCCTACAGTTAATATTGTCATGTGTATGAGTGACTAGAGACGGGGTTTAGATTGATAATTGGATATACTGAACACTTACAGATAGTAATTACAAGTAACAATAGCGCTATCTCTAATTTACGCCCAGCAGTTCACTACAGCATGTACTAAGACTTCTGCGTCTTCACCAGTCGTTGTCTGGCAACGGCTTGCAACGCCATAGGTCCCTCAGCTTCCGTGTTCACGTCCTTACTGACAGGCGACTGTTCCCCAACCATCTAAACTGTACACGTATCCTGGTTAGAACACCTCGGCATGGACCGCATAGCAAACACCACTTTTGTTGCGTCACTCAGCTTTCGCACGGACCTCGTAGAGAACACTTCTTCCCAGTCCATTGATGCGTTAGGAATCTGTTGCCTAGCAACGGGTGTTATTTACAGAGTCATTATTTAGCAACGGGTCTACATGCTACAATATTAAAGTTTTCGACTGGGACAGAAGACAGACATGAAGATGGTGACAATGATGATGACAAAGATGGCGTTACAGCGCCGTTGACATCAGTCATAGTTATAAGATTCGAGGGTTAGTAGCAATCAATATCAAAATCACAGTTTTCTTGAATGTGACAACATGTAGTTTGGTAGTTACATACCAACTTTACGGAGGAACCTGCTACTTCCATTTTAAGTGAAGGCTCACTTCTCCTGTCCTGAAGATGGAGACAGGCTCATCCGGAAAACTTCTACCTGTCTTCCAGACTGCATGGCGTTATATCCCAGAAGACTGTCATCTTAACACTGCTGCTTAGCTTTCGGAAGTTAGCTGACAGCGGGGGAAGAGGCCAGCTCTTGTTATTCCGTTATTGTTTTAGCAAATGCGAGTAGTTATAAACACGATGAGAACATAGCAGCAGTAAACTGCAGGGGAAGAAATGCTGAGTCAGAAGTGTAATGTTCATCTTTACCGAAAATAGTTCATATCCAAATAAGAGCAACGGTTAGGACATGCTGTTATTCTAGTAAGTTTAGTATAACGTAGCTGTCTCTACAGAACTCTTCAGCTTCGTAGCGTGCGTGTTCTTTGTAACCGTGACTCCCAGGTGTCCCTCAAGGGCTCTAACATGTGAGGGTGAAGCGCAGCGTGAAACCGCAATAACTAACGGGCTTTATGACAGTGTAAAGTTGCCTAATTAGCATGCGCGTCACTTCTACTCGTACTTATCTGCCTCTACTTTTTATTGCACTGTTCTTTGAAAATTGTGCGTTTAAAGCTCAACACTTTACAAGACACTGGAGGCAGACAGAATTTAAGACACACAAAATGCATGTGAAATCTTCATTTTTATGATCATCCCGCTGCAATGAGTGGAAGGTTTATTAGTTAGCAAATGAAGCAACTCAAAAGGTTTTATAAATCCAGTTTAAAATTGAAATATGAAAGCATGAAATTGCGGTCAAGACACGCTGAATGTAAAATTTACAGGGTTTTCTTTCCCCTCCTTCAAGGAATGGAACTACCAGACTGCTTGGATTAAAAACTGAAAGAATCAGAAAACTGCCCATTTCAATGGACAGATGATGCTTGTGTTCCACTTTCCTCGTCATCCACCATTATTCAGTGACGAATAATTAAGATAACTAATTCCATTTGATTTCAGAAAAATTTACTGCAAAAAGCAGCGTCTGCTGTTTTCACCTACCTCGTCAACAATCCAGACAATAAAGTTATGCAGGAAAACCTCAAGTTCTATTCTGAGCTGCCAGAAGTGGATATGAGTGAAGTGGTCAATTTTGAAGCACGGGTAAGCCAAATATTCCAGTATTTTTTCTATGAACTGATAGTTGCTATTAGTAATATTTTATTTATTACAAAAAATAATTGGATTTACACTCCATGCATTTCATAAGAACACATGCGTTTATGAAAGTCACCTAAACCAAGCTAAATCAAGATTTCATTTGCAAGGCTGTCAGACCTTCTGGTCACACCCGTCATTTGCTATAATCAGCGTAGGCCAGCAGTGATAAAGTTCAGTATGAGGTAACGAATGTATTGCGTTCACTCATAAGTCTACCGTTTCAACTGGGGTGTATACACAATTTTATGGTTTAACATTAAGCTTTTAGAGATGTTTGTATGCATCGTCTTCACAGAACTACGTTTCCTTGTACATCCATGGTGCAGAAGCTTACCAACATGAGGACTACAAATCCGTTATTAGCTACATCGAGGAATCTCTTGAAGATTACCTGCGAGCTGAAGATGAGTGCAGAGCTTACTGTGAGGGCCCGTTTGACCAAGGATGGTTTCCAGATTTTGTTTCGTCCATTGCTAGTAAGTGCCCGTTTGTGTAAACTAACAGTCAGAGACCTGGAAATGAGAAGAGCTAAATAACATGAAGCAGAAATTCGGTCGTAATTTTACTGTGTGTTATAGACCGCCTCTGTGGTCTAGTGGTTAGAGTTCCTGGCTACAGATCCAGAGGTCCTGGGTTCAATTCCCGGAGCTACCAGATTTTCTGAGAAGTAGTGGGTCTGCAACAGGGTCCACTCAGGCTCGTGAGGATAATTGAAGAGCTACTTGAATGGAAAAATAGTGGCTCCGGTCTAGAAAACCGAAATTAACAGCCGTCAGGATTCGTTGCCCTGACCAAGCGACACTCTATCCGCTAAAAGTTGGAACTAACTTCGGCGACAAGCGGCGTTCGCTCGGTCGGTATAGTTCGCTTGCGGGCTAAAGCCACGGAGTTAAGAGGGAGGAAACAGTTGAATTTGGTGGCCTAATATTGTAAGAACCTAAGGGACGCAATGTTCCAGATAATAACAATTTAAGTGGCCTTTTACTGTTATGTAGGGCAAGTCTTCCCATACGTCCAATTACACAGTTTACGTGTTAGTATCCTTCCAGCCGCGCTATGGCCCTGGGGTCGACTCAGCCTCTAACAGAAATGAGTACCAGGAATTAATTAAATAATTTTCCTGGGGAGTAAAGCGTGGCGGGCGTGTAAGGCTGACAACCTTACCGCCATCTTTGAGCCGATTGTCAAGATAATGTTGGACCCTCAACGTCTCACGCCCCTGTGGGCCTTCACGGCCTGTTACAGGGCATAGCTCTACTTTATTTAACTTTACTTAGTAATTATATCAGTCTAAAGCTTGCAGTAGCTGAGGCAGCGCTCTTTCAAACACCCACTACTTCGTGTGAGATTTGTGGTAGATAAAGTAACGCTAGGGAAAGTTCCTCTCTAAGCACTTCAGTTTCCACTGCCAGGCATCAACCCTCTATCGCTCTCCTTAAGGTAAACCTTAGATCTGACGGATTAAAACTTTTACCTCAAATTTTTATTTTGTCTTCATTGTTACCCATCGTTTGGTTGAAATCAAGTATCGATTCACAGTACATGGAAAGAATCTACCAGGCTTTCGTAATTGTTTCACAATAAGGCCATCTCAGTTAAGATCCACGATGTAATAACAAAACAGTTCTTCAATATAAATAGAATGCCTAAAAGCATTTGGACATTTCATAATATTTATAAAGATGTGTGATATGTTTTGAAGATCCAACGAACTGTAGAATGAATCAAAGCGAAACCACCAAACTAGATGTAATTCTGATACAACAGTATTTGTATGATAATATATTGAAACGCCTAAAATGTTCATTAAATTTCTTCTGCCAGCGATTTAGCCTTCAATTTTTCGGTGGAAGATGTATCTTTCTTATTGCGGACGAAAGAGCTTACGGAGACATATTTTCGTTTCGGAGATGGTAGCTCTTCGACCGGCATTCACGCCGAGACATGTCAGTACATGTCTTAAGATCACAATTTGACGTCCATTTTCTGGTCATCATAATGCCCATGGCATAAGATCTGTTGCATCAGAATTATTATTGATCATCCCAAATAATTTCGTCTACATATAAAATTTATCTTGGAGGAAGAATGTTGAGTAAAACTTTTTTTTAGTTGGTAATTCTGTATATTTACTACAGTATTATCAGTTCTGTTGCCCTTTTTATAAATATGCGTGTGGGACCCGCCCACATTAAACCAAGCGTTGCAGCGACAACGCATTTCAGACACAATAATTGCAATCCTCGCTAGAAAACATTCACTGCTATTCAATGACTCAATAACGAGGGTATCCATGGAAGCAAATCAATACGACACAATAATAGAATGATACAACCAGATGTCCTCAACACGGTCAGCCAAGAGAGCTGTCCAGGAATAACTTATCTTCTTCAACCAGAATCCCGTGTAGAGGCAGAGTCGAAGAATACCTGTACCGTAGCCCTGCGAGTCGTAGGAGCTGATGAAAAAAGAAGTCTAGAATCTGAGACAGTAAAATAGAGTCACGAGTCCCACGGGACTAGAACCCGGAAATGACTGCACTGGCGAGGGTCAGCAGCAGTTGTAAACGACAGACCCGTCCTCTCGTCAGAGATAGTGCCCCACATCAACAACCCCGCAACTGTCTGACAGTAATAAAAATCTTGTCGCAGGCCCCAGATGGGTGCTTTATTCCAAGATACACTGGCCTACTGACCGTCGGTCGTAACATAAGACTCGGCTCGATTTTTCAGCCAGACTATTTAAACTTACTGCAGCCTTCAAATCTTCAAACTGAAGTTCGTCCGTATGTTCCGTATAACGACAATATATAGTATTTGTATAGAAGTGTAATAAGTGGCTGTCTCTTCATACATCGACATCCCACAGGTGCAATCAACAAACCCCTTCCACTGCCGCGGCAAGTCTTCCTCAGTCCACGCAGAGCAAATAAATTTATGATTCTCAGAACATGAAATTGTACTTCCTGCTTAGATCAATTCTGTCCAGATCTGACGAGCGCCTGGCGATTTATACATTCTGATCTTTAAATATTAATTCCAACCTCACAGAAACTAGGCTCAGATGCGAAGTCCTGAGCTGTAAGAGCGCATCGGATCTGCTTCAAATCCTCTACAAGTTACAAGGTGAAACCGGCGTTACAGATCCTTTGAATGAGTTGAATGCATAGATATTTCAGCCCGCCTAATATCGTTAACCATATGTAAGGTTAAGCGGCCTCCGTAGTCTAGGGGTAACGTTCCCGCCTCATGACTCAAGGTACGCGGGTTCAAACCCGGCGGGGTCGTGGAATTTTTAAGGGCGGGAAAATTCAGGGAACAATTCCTCCGGGAGGGACTTTAAGCCGTGTGTCCCGTGTCGTAGATTTACGGCACGTAAAAGATCCTCATGTCTCTAGGAGACCTCTGAGCAAAATTAGGCAAAGTTTCCGGCCCAGGTAGTTTCCAATTCCTCCGGTAGATGGGGAAGTATCGGGGACCACTGCCAGAGAGGTGGCCGAACTCGCTGGCAGGATGGGGCTGAGAGCGAGCACCAGTACCGGAAGGGCATGGCGACTGGAAGAATATCAAAAGGGGACTTACAATAGACTATTAGTCGCGGTGCATGGGGAAACCCACCCCCTCCAATAATAATAATAATAATAATAATAATAATAATAATAAAAGGTTCTACAATCAATAGCTGACAGAAGTAATCCTTCCACCTATTCAAAATACTAGTAACGTGAGATTATGCAAGCAGATTATCATTCTTATGACTTATTTTACGAAGAAAATGACAGGAAGAAGATAATTTTGTTCTAATAGAGAGAATGAACAGTTCAACAAAAATATCAATTTAGTGTCTGGAGAAATGTGTGATTTCCAACAAGAAGCAGTCGCAGTGTATGTAGCATCTGTGCATGACATGAAACTTGATCCAACTACTGGGAACCGCATTTAGTTTGATTTAATTCAAAAGCATTGGTTCCAGTATGGACTGCCAAGCAGAACGTTTTATTTAATTCAAACCTTCAGATATTCAGCTGTTCTTAGTAGCAATATGAGATATGTCATAAGAAGAAAAGACCTCGAAATATATATTCATATCTAATTGATGTAACAAAAATCAACTTTTCACCGAAGCTGATGGCAAAGTGTTAGGCACCACATTTGCACACATGAGAGATGAACCGACACGGAAGTTGGCCTCATAACTTTTACATTTCATCTGATATTGTTAGAGTAATTGATCCAGTGACTGAAATGAATAGCTGCAGTATATACAGCACACAAAACGAAAGTAATTAACTCATTTGGTTGGAAGTCTTGCAGAATGATAGAGAGAGGCGGTGGTTTATATGACAGAATATTAAAATAAATTTTAGAAAAGTAGGGTGATGTTAACTGGATTGAACTGGCTCACGTTAAGAGCCACTAGCAGGATATTTTTATGATTGCAATGGACTTGTTGGTTTCATAACAAAAAGGTAAATTCATGTGCAGGAGACTAATTTTCCATTGCTCAAACAGAACCCAATATCCTGCTGCTTGCAAGTGTTTACAGAGTGTGCTGTTGACCATTCTTTCTGGCTTCCAGTACGCCTTGTATATGAGAAATGTGACGGTAAGACGTTTATGCATTTCACTATACTCTAGAAATTGATTTTAAAATGAATGTGTAAGTAATTTATGTTCCTGTCATTGCAGATCATTTCACCTACTGCCTCAAATGTAAGCGAAGGTGTCCTGACAAACTGAATTCTCTGAATGGAGAAAAGCACCAAGACCTCCTTGCAAGCCATTACCATTTTCTGCAGTATGCATATTATAAAGGTGGGGTTTAGCTCTACTACTTTATTTGATATCGTTTATTTAATGATGCTGTCAGTAGCTCAGACTGTGTAAGAATGCTAGAGAGACTAACAAACAGTGATTTGTCAAGGATATGGTAGGAAGCGGCTGTGGAGAGACAGAACACTACAAGAAACTGTCAGAATTCCTTGTTACTTGACCGAGATTTGAAGTAGGAACCCCCTGAATATGAACCAGGAATGCTACCCACACAGATTTTTTTTTATTCGCTTAGTGGGGGGTGGAGTCCAACTGGGTCCACTCGGCACGACGGCCACTGATTGGCCTATTATACCTGCCCCGGTTGATTATGATGGAGAATTTGGTGGAATGAAGATTGGCAGGGGAAACCGAAGTACTCTGAGAAAAGCCGCCCCAGAGCCACTTTGTCCACCACAAATCCCACTTGACCCGGGATCGAACCAGGGCTGCCGCGGTGGGAAGCCAGCGATTAACCGCTTGAGCTATGGCGCGGCCCCGCTCAGTGAGATACTAACAGCATCGGAAAATAACCCACACGACGTCGGTGTTCAGTTTGTGTGCACTAAACAGTGTTAAACTATCTTTTATACTGTCTCAATTGTTTTAATTTTATTCACTTTTCTATTTGCGAAGTTGGAAATTTAAGGAAAGCTTGTGAAGCCGTTGCCAGTTATCTGATGTTCTACCCTGCGGATGAAACCATGATGAATAATAAGGAGTACTACTTTAAACTGCCAAAGGTAGAAAAGGACTTCTTCACACCAAGAGAGGTAATACTACCTGTCGACAAGGCATACTTGTATATATGAACATAACGTATGTGCATGAACTGTAAAATACAAGTAATTAGTGCAGCTCAGACGTACCAATTTATTGGGAGAAACGTAAATACTGTATAAAATCGTATATATCTCAGTCAGCAATAATTAATTTCTTCTAGAAGTAAACATAGAGAAAATTAAGTATGTGTTAATATCTCATTACCAGAATTCAGCACAAAGTCATAATATGAAGGAAGCTAATAGATCCTTCTGGAATATGACAGAGTAACACATGAAAATTACGTTTACCAAGAAATTAAGAGGACATAAAATTCGAGAATGCTTTTTGACAGCAAGAATGGGAAATATGATAAATGCGTGCATGAAATGATGGAGGAATGTAGTTTGGGGAATTGGGCATAGAGAGTAGGATAATATTAAAGTGAACCTTAGAAAAAAGGTTTTGAGGATGTGAGCTGAACTCGTTTGGTACACAGTAGGGTCCAGGGGCAGGATCTTGTGAACACGGTAATAAACATTCCGGTTCTATGAATGGAGAGGAATTGTTTACTACTTGAGCAACCAACTCTATGACTGTCTGTTCTGCTCGTTATAATTTTGTGAAATTTGATATAACAGTGTTACTTTTACTTCTGTGTTTTGCAATAAATATGAGTATATAACCAAATATATCTTAATAATTTCAGGAAGCTGTGGAGTATGTGCAAAGGCAGGAATATGAACTCAGACTGCTTGATTTCATTGAAAATGAATTTTCTTTCAAAGATGGAAGTGAAAATGCAATCGACATCAATGAAACTGAGGTACAGTTTTTTTTTTATTTTGTCAGTTATTATTTCGAGACCAACTGTGCTTAGTAATACAGCTACTGTTCTGACACTGAATCTTTTAGAAATGCACATCCATCAGGTGTAAATTGGTATGAATTTCCAACAATAATTTTGTTCAGAAAATATATTACTTTACAGTAACTGCAGAGAATAATGAAATTAATTGATATGTTTTAACTCGTTTGGAACTGGTAAGATCTTAAGTCTTCCGGCTTTATGACTCATTGAAGATTTCAGGTTTTCACGGCGGTGACTATGAAGAAAGCAGTCTTCTGGGATGTGGCACCGTGTAGATATTGTGTTAACCGACGTTTCGGAAGAACGTATCGCATCCATCTTCAGGGTAGAAGAAAAAAGAAGAAATGCTATACGTTCCTCCGAAACGTCGGTTAACACAATATCTACACGGGCTACATCCCAGAAGACTGCTTTCTTCATGACTCATTGAAGTTCGCTTTGGGATCTGGCAGTGTTTTCAAGTACTATTTCCAGGAATACAAAAAGAAACTACTTGAAGTGACGAAATAAAAATGGTAGCCTCCATGCTTTGTCTTTTGCTGTGCCTTTCCAGTGTAAACCTGGTTTGCGCTGATCAGTTGGAGCCTATACACAACAAAACTTCTGTCGGCACAAACCAAAAGTACAGTCCCTTTTTTCCGGCCGTAAGAAACAGCACTAATAGCGGTTTATTTTCGAAACGGTTGTGTCAGCATTCAAAAGAGATTCTAACTGAATTTACAGAGGTATGCTACAAGTCGGAAGGTCGGGGGTTCAAGTCCCGATGAGGCCATTGGATTTTTTTTACAGTTGACCTAATCCTTCCGGCCGCACTGTGGCCCTGGGGTTCACTCAGCCTCTAACAGAAATGAGTACCAGGAATTAAATAAATAATTTTCCTGGGGAGTAAAGCGCGGCCGGCGCGCAAGGCTGACAAACTTACCGCCATCTTTCAGCCGATTGTCTAGATACTATGGGACTCTCAACGTCTCACAACCCTATGGGCCTTCACGGCCTCTTACAGGGATAGCTTTACTTTACTTTTTTTAATTATGTAGAAGCTTTCCATGACTCTGCAAAATAAATTAAAGTGATTATAGTGGCAGAAATTTAAAATCAAAAGCATTTAAAGTTTAGCTTTTTTGTAGTAATAGTTAACATGTCCAATTCAAATATTATCAGCCATGGTTAGAGGAAAAAGTTTGTTATGCACCGTTTGACCATTCAGAACCGATATTAGTTGCTTTCTTCATATGCGTCTACTTGCGTTCTAATGTTTTTCCTCTCAATGTAACTGTCAAATTTTGCATAAAAGAGCACTAACACACCACAGAACTACAGCAGCATAGCACCTTTTTCCTAAACACGTATTTGCTTATACTGCTTATGCTTATACATATATATATATATATATATTCCGAAATTAATATGTGTTTAAGTAATTCTGAGTGTGTTTTTTATCTTCTACTTTGTTACTTCATAAATTAATGTAATATATATATCATGTTACATTAATAGGATATATATATAGAGCCACGCCATAGCTGAAGTGGGATTTGTGGTGGACAAAGTGGCGCTGGGGGAGGTTTTCTTCGAGTACTTCGGTTTCCGCTGCCAATCTTCATTCCACCAATTGCTCCACAATCACCCTCACCTATCATCTGGGGCTGGTACAATAGACCAAAAGTGGCCACAGTACAAGGGACTTAGTCCCACCCCACTAGCATTAAAAAAAGAAATATATGATATATATATCGTATTACATTAATTTATAATGTAACAAAGTAGAAGATATAAAAACACACTTTGAATTACTTAAACGCATATTAATTACAGAATATAAATCTTTTTTTTTAAACTGAGTAATATATATATATATATGTACTACAAAGCCATTTTTTGTAGATGTGTGTTGGTAATTTGTTGTATGGTTGAGTGCCGGTATTTCAAACACTCTGTTTTACCAGACTTACTGTGAAAAATTTTAAATGCAAGTTTTGCCTTTGGTAAATATTATGTCAACTCGGTGTGTGCTGTTTTAAATAGTAATTATTTTGTTCTTTATGAACACAGTAGTGTACATATCACATACAATTTGCAGGAGGAACTGATAAGTATTAGAAGGACTACATGATGATATAGTGCTCTTAATGATACTTAAAACGCATTTTTAAATTTTGTATTGTATTTCAACATCCTGTTGCATTGTGGTATCATTTTTTATGTCATAAGTTTTCCATGTATAATGCAACATGTCAACCTTTTGTAGAAGACACTGAAAGACACTAAAAGTGTTTGTTAAATATTTTAAAATGTCATTAACTATATACATTCTCCCCAGCAATAAAAGTTGCCTGATGATGGTCCATGTGTGGCCGAAACATGTAGCAACAAAGAACTAATGTATGTAGTTAATGACATTTTAAAATATTTAACAAACACTTTTAGTGTATTAAATATAGTTTAGTGTGTTTTATAAAAGGGTTAACTTGTTGCATTATGGACAGAAAACTTACGATCTAAAAATGGTTTGAATTTTAAGTTTAACAGTTTCCGTTCAGTTCGCTAAAAGGTATGAGCTTGTATGTTAATTTACCATGAAAATTTGAAAAATGAACATTACAAAACACACCTGGGTTGTTACTTACGCGAACTTACTTAGTGCAGAATTTATTTCATTACAGTTTACACTGCATTTTAAATTTTGATGCATATTTATCCCAGGGAACTCGGAGTTATTATTTCTCTTTATTTAATCAACGACTGTTCATGTGAATGCATGTGAAAAACATTTAAGATGTATTCATTTTACAATATTATATTTAAGCATCCTGTTGCACTCTATACGATAAATGATATAATGATACAAATTCCGTCCCAAGTGCAAACAATATATTATGTGTCCTTGATCTTGTTCACCCACACTACATGTTTCGGCCACAGACGGCTATCATCATCATAACTTTCCTTGTTATTATCAACATCTATTTCGTTGATATCTGTCTGGATGTAGATCACTTTACACACGTTAATTCTGACGTACCTGTAGTAGCACTATAAAATCTTTAGTTCTAATTTTAAAATCCTTTAAAATTTTTTTCCCCAAATTCCAAATTTAAAATTGTTAGGGTTACTCGCCCTAAGTCTAAAGTGCTGTAGCGGCTAGTTCTTGTTCCCACACTGTATAGGTGTTATCTGTAATATATAAATATATTTGTATTATTATCTTGTGTACGTAATGTTTTCTTATGTGTTTATATTGTATTTGTACTTACCCTGTGTAGTCTTCCTGTGTGCGTGCCGCTGTTATTCTTTACTACGTGTGTTGTCAGATGTACTGTGTGCTGAGGAAGACTACACAGGGTAAGTACAAATACAATATAAACACATAAGAAAACATTACATACACAAGTAATAATACAAATATATTTATATATTACAGATAACACCTATACAGTGTGGGAACAAGAACTAGCCGCTACAGCACTTTAGACTTAGGGCGAGTAACCCTAACAATTTTAAATTTGAAATTTGGGGAAAAAAATTTTAAAGGATCTTAAAATTAGAACTAAAGGTGTTATAGTGCTACTACAGGTACGTCAGAATTAACGTGTGTAAAGTGATCTACATCCAGACAGATATCAACGAAATAGATGTTGATAATAACAAGGAAAGTTATGATGATGATAGCCGTCTGTGGCCGAAACATGTAGTGTGGGTGAACAAGATCAAGGACACATAATATATTGTTTGCACTTGGGACGGAATTTGTATCATTATATCATTTATCGTATTCATTTTAGTTAATATTTCTATTTATATAGATATATTTCATTCCACTACTTGCTAACGTTCTGTTTCAATATGTTTCCAAAGGTGTCCTCATGTTCTACTGAGCATTTCTGCATTACAAACAAAAAGTAATAACAATTGTCTTATGTAAGTTTTCATTTACTTCCCATGTAGTCATACATATGGGCTATATTAGTCAATGACTAGTTTATAGGCTCCTTCATAACCCTGCTGTGCACCTATTATTAAATTCTCCCAGTCTGTCAATACATTTGTATGAAACAATCTGAGAACCACATGACGGATATTCGTGAAGTTTTATCCTGGAAAATTTTCGGGAATTTGTCGAGACATTTCAATTATCATTCAGATCGGACAACTGTAACGACCAATTTACATGAAAACCTACATGTGTCTGCTCTCATTGCGAGCATAACTCGATAAGCATTTATCAGAGTGAATATTTTTCGGCAAAAAATTATAGAGGAAAGTATAACACATTATGCATCGAATAGAATTCTTCCATTATGTCTTTCAGCTTTATACGTAATTAAACAAACCTAGAGCTTTACGTGCATTTTCATTTATCATTCATCAATGGCTCTACAACCCTTGTTGGGCCCAGAGGTCGAGGCTCCCACATTTTCTAAACAATCGGCTGACGGCGGTAATATTGTAAGCTTTATGCGCCAGCCACACTTTACCCCCATGAAGATTTCCGGTACTTGTTCTGTTAGAGGCTGAGTCGACCCCAGGGCCATCACTTATGTAAAAGATTTGGCGGCATGGAGATCTCTTGTTGCAAGTACTGCGAACCTGATAAATGATCTTTAAACTCACAGTGTTGCCAGCTGGTGGCAGCACTTCTTCAGTGAGGTAATATACTTTCCCATATTAGTAGACCTCGCCATATTAGGGGACTTTCCCCCACTTCCACAGTCTTGTTTCTTTTCTTTTCAATATGAAGAAGAGATGATTTTCTATGTAACGAAAGTATATGGTACTTTGGTGCTAAGTTTTAATGGCCAGAGTAATTAATGATGAATTAGGTGTGCATGTTGCTGAAGTTACTAATATGACATGATGTTTGGGTAAAGTACAGCATCATCGGTTTGGACCCTATTCATCTTGTATCCTAAAGGTCTCACTTGCTATAAAGCTTAACTTTTTTTTGTAGTTAATAT